TTGGAGATAGATAACGCACTATGTATTGATGTCGTTGAACTTTTTTTGTGATATCCACTTTGCAAATAAAAACCAACATAATCGCATATGACAATACAAAGGAGGTGAAAGTCGGCTGGGAAGCACCTAGTTTCATTCCCTAGTCCATAGTAACTATCTGAACTATGCCTAGTCAGAAAGATTGAGAAAGGAAACGAGCGGGAGAGAACCAGCTAGTACAAACTAACGGTACTCGATGCTGATCTTCGTTCAAGTGGTGTGTGATAAATCTTACTGACTAGTATGTAAACCCATCACGAGGCCATTCATGTCTCCCCATTATAGACCGAAATACCTTGGCCAATAAATAGCGGTTCCCTAAAAAGGTAACTAAGCACTGTTTATTCACCATTTGTTGTTGTTACTATAGGAACCTGACACGCAACAGGTGGATCGACTATTGTCCATTCTTTKTRAYCAAAGACTGGAAATATTGTCAAATCGCATAAGGAAGTTATTAATTATTAAAAAGTCAGATTTGGTCAGATTCGGGTGAAAAACGTCTGTGTGTTACAATAACACAAGTAATATTTTTTAGTCTGTGGAAACTGTATGATTTGATTGTCAGTTGACTGTGACTTGTAGAGACCAGCACAGGTCACTCCATCTCCACTCAACCCGACGGATTGGTAAGTGGACTTTGTGGCAGTTCTGGCAGGTTCATTGATTCTTGCCGGTCGTTAAAAAGCTGTGACAAACTCACAATTATGAAACGAGATATCCTAACAACATTAACATGCACTCTAGCTAATGTTACTGATCAGATTATCTGAATCATTTTGTTACGGGAAAATTCAAATCGTTAATTTTTCCGAAGTCCGATCGATAGTTCCTGACAGTTATTGATCATATGACATCAGTAATTGARGGTTCAGACAGACGGCATTACAAATTAAGTGTTTTTGTCATCCAGGCAATATGAATACGCAAAACAGCTTGAATTTATATGATTTTAAAAGATTATCTGAACTCGATCCCATCCCTACTTTGTATGTTTTTACCACGACAATAAATCAATCATCGGCCCCCTTTTTTTGGTCCACTAGACTACCATGAGCAAAATTTAATAGAATTCAAATTATATTGACAAGTAACGGAACTCTAAAAAAACGGGAGTAAATAAGAAAACAAAGCATTGAAAATGCGAGTGTAGATATATTTTTTGTTCACTCTTCTCAAATCTACTGACAAGTTATTGGTWATAATTGACATGTCACTTTTTACTAGGTTCAGTGTGCAATGCAAACCTCAAAATTCTCGGTAACCCTCATGCTAATAGCATTTGTGGGTCACTGTACGTCAGCAAAGCTACCAAAAACTGCAGCCAAAGATCTCAAACCRAGTCACCTAAAACATAATCACGAACATTCAGCTAAAAATACGATTAATGAACACCTTAAACAACCATCTGGACTTCTTGCAACAAAAATGAAAACCAAGGATTCAAATGATTTGAAAAGTAAAAAAACCTGGTCAACCGCAAAGTCAGTCATTGTGCAACCTTTACAGCGTGATGGTGTGGTGAGGACTCAAGTTTCCACAAACCCTTTGCTTGATCAGCTCTATGTACAAAGGTATCATGCGYTGGAGGAGGTTGACAGGATCAACAATAGAATCAACTTCATCCTACAACGCAATGCTCAGAGAAATAACTACGCTAACGCAGTCTCTTCTTTTATAAATCCCGCGTCGACATCCGATTCGTATGGCGTCCAGGGCGGGTCTATTGTACTGGGACCTGCAAATGCTGGGTCAGTTGCAGGTGTGGAAAACGCTCAGCTACGACAGTTAGCGGTAAAAATGGCTAAACATCATCACGTTAAGTCTGATAACGCTCCTCTTGATATGCCGAAACCAATGGATGATGSTGAGGATACTTCSGCTAAACCAGCTCCKAAATCTRATAAGGAATCAGCAGATGTTGAAGATGAAGCAGGTAGGATTGAGCGTCTTTAAAACATATTAGCACATTTATTCATCCTTCTCAAATTCTAGAATATCGTTTTCAAATACACTTAAGGGAAAATAAAGCACCCATTTTGATTTGCAGAAGTGCAAAAGCGTTATGCTGCGTAATAACGACTTATAGATTTATTTTGCAGCGTGACTTGCTTGTAGCAATTTTCACAAAATATAAATGATCATTTCCACAGACCTTGGCGATCCCAGGAAGTTTGACTCAGTTTGTAGTGTACTGAAGTTAACGTTTGAACACACCAATGGCGCCACGATCCTGGACGACTCTCCAAAAACCAACAATGCCCAATTGGATGAYGGGGCATACGTTGCCAATACGGGAAGCACYTCAGGAATCGYTGCWACTATYGGTGATGATGGATATGTAGAAATTCCAGGCAMATTCAACGGAAAGCCCAAAAAAGCGGCTGCTATATCCATGTGGGTAAAACTTCGCAGTGTAGAYGGTAAAAACCCATTGTTTCAAGCTTCTGATCGAAATGGMACAACACACTATGACCTATCGGTCGTAAATGGAAGGGCGACGTGGATTCACCGTGACGACACCGAYCAAGAGATCTTTAAAGTAAAGGYCAGTGATGATTCCCTCTTTACTGTTGGAAAATGGCATCACATTGTTGGTACTTACAGTTCAAAGCACAAAMAGGCCACACTTTGGCTCGATGGRAAAGAAGTYGGCCWTCAGAAAAATGTAAAAGGACTRCTATCACAAGACTGGTCAAAAGCTTTCGTGTTTGAAGGAAAAACGGTTGGATTTGCAGACAATATCTTCATGTTTCGTTGCCCACTTGAYAGAACCAAAGTTGTAGCATTGTATGTGTCATCTTCTTCACCAAAACATGAGAAGAAATCTTCAATTCCTAAACCCTAAAGCTATTCACTGGAAATGCTGAAGACTTGATGGTTGTTATGAAAAGTGTTAAAAAGCCTGAAGAKTAAAAAAAATAGGAAGAATGCCCACAAAATAGATGGATAGAAWTCACATGAGTATKCAAAACATGAGCATGAAACMTATGATAAAAGATAAGTTGAGCAACAYAAAAACATAAAAGACCAATTACGCTAGTAAGCAAGTGTTTTATCTTTTTATGAAACTGCTTCATTAGAAAGACACAGCTCACACTAGCTTAATGGCTTGCTTCCTCTTATTACTCTGTATCTGRAACTAAAGAAAACCCAGTAATTCAAAAACAGATGATTAGCTGATTCAACCATTATTTAGAACTGCACTGCTACATTATTTGAAAATAATTTTATATCAAATATTGCTTGCCTAGTAAAATACACAATTTGCAAAAAGTTCTCTGGTTCAAATATAACAACTGTTAGAGTGAAAAATTTGTTTAAAATTCAAACATTTAATAACAAWTTAACTAACAAAATTATTATGATGTTCAAAATTTGCAATTCCGTAAGTGAGTTGCAATCAAAGTTATCWAGTAAGAAGACCACAAATTAATATTWGTTTCAACTGAMATTCAAACAYTATTGTTCCTCATTGAGCTACATTCATCTCACCATTCCTCGGAGCATCTTTTGAACCTTTAAYGAACTATAAATCAGTGTCTTGGACAGCCCAGCTGTAAGAATACCTTTAGAACTTTGTACTATGCTGGATTTCAATACAATATCTCCCACACCCTTACGTATAAATGCACCACACTTTAGTCTGTCTTTTGCTAACTCATTCAAAACATCTGAACCACTGATTTCATTTGTGGCATATTTGATAACTCTTCTCAATAATGTGCTTGGCAAACGTTGCAAGATTGAATATGTATTATAAGTACTGTTGTCCTGCTGRAGSAATCCACCTGGCAAWACTGCYACRTCATTTCTTTTAGAAAGTAWGTTTTGGTAAAGMTCTTGAAATCCTTGCATGTTTGAATGAACTATCTTTTTTACTTTTCCTTTATCTTCTCCAAATATCATCCTGAAATCTCCTGCGTAAGACAGCCATGATATGGWCATGTATAAATCCTCTTCGTCGAACTTCTCTGGTAAACACAACAGCGCTGCATCCACAGCATTAGCCAGGTTTTCTTTTAGTAGAGTTCTTATTGTGGATCCTTGTTTACGGTGGATGATTTGCACAGGTTTGTGCAGCCGTCCACTGATGTACAGCCATTCCCAYGCACRCATGTCACGCTCAAAGTTCTCTACATTCATTACACCGTATTTTATCATTCTWCCTTGAAATGGGACTAGAGTATTGTAGTAAACACCTGCACCATAGTTATCCTGRACAGTAACCACAGCATTTGTTCCRATATTYCCAACGAAAGAGTAATGTGAAGGGTGAAAAAATATGTTTTCCGAGTGCCATTCACGTGAATCGTTCACAACGAACACAAAATCKATCATGTTTTCTGGTGAAATGTTACCTTTTTGTTTAAATACTCCCGAGCCATAAGCAAACGCTAATGCTATACCATCAGGAAATTTAGAAACGATATTTTGTAGTAAATCAACKTGTTCGTCCGCCATGTTGGRTTTTGTGAGTATGCAATACTAGSTAYYAGCAGTTKTTACCATGRGCGTCATGCGCAATCGTAATTGTTATCACTATGGMAACTGGTAAAGCTTCATGACTCGAAGAGCTCCAAAGCAGTGTTTACATTTTTCTGCAGGAAATAAAGATGTCCTTCTTTAATTTAACACAATTGGGAGTCCAAGACACAATCAAGAATGGCGTCAAAACTCCAGCCACGACGATTGGTTCTGGGCCTGTGAGTGAAGAAAGCGGAAAACACATCCCCGACAGGACGAGTTTGAAAGAACCGGTGTATCCGAACTCCGAAGCCAATGGATCGCATGTGCTCTACACAAAAAGGCTCCACAAACACATTAGACCAAAGCAAGGTGAGAATATCTTTGMAACTCTTGTGGTTTTATACTTTAAAATTACAAGTCGCAGCAACCTCGCAGTTTTATTTACCGTAAACAGACCCACCAGCTGATCGCGGCAAATTGAAACATGAATATTCAAATAGTGTTACCTTTTGTCGAAAATATTTGTGTCTTATCAGGTTTACAGCCTCACGTTGTGTAATATTTGTTTCAGGCCCTAACGAGATATACGAAAAGAAAGTGTCTAATAATTACTCATATGGATGGTGGATGCGAGATGGAGTTCAAAGTGAACAATGGACCAAAAATGAYCATCATCCWATGGTTAGAAGTGAAATGACAAGGTATGATATTAASATATACACATATTTTTGCATTTTTTACTCAAAAAAGCATTGTTTCTCAGATAAATTCATCATTGGAAAAGTAGGATTTAGGAATAAATTAAGACTGAGAGAAAAAACAGAGTTCAGCTTGATTGATCTTTGACTAATGAATTCTTTTAATTTGTCATGGCAAAGATGCTGCAATATTGCAGAAATATTGGATCACCCATCACTATAAATATRTTGGTTGACCTAAGACTAGTGGTGACTTTTCTATTCATGCAAAACATTGCTTTAATGTTACAATTTTATGCAACACAATATGAAGGAATAGCCGATTTGCATTATGGCGTCATTTACTGCCACTACCAGAATGCTTTGCCAACTTTCTTTTGTAATGCAATTAGTGCCAAATGTTTTATTAATCTCCAAGGGGATTAAAAATCTGAATAACAATGAAAATGCACAAGGCTCTGGTAGTTGTAGTAAAGTTACTCCATAATGCAAATGGCCTATTATGATCTTCTTCTTTTTTTTTTTTTTTGCTCATATTTTAAGTATATTTTATGAAATATATCAGAAATTATGGGGTATCATCACTGAATAATTTCTGTTAATTCAATATATACTTCAAATATGAGTCAAAAACGATCATAATTTCTGCAAATTGCTGTATCTTGTATTATTTTTTATATCATACATATATATTTAGGCACATATCAAAACTTGGTTCAGTTTTCACTAATAGTACTGGTATCAGAATAGATCTATCCTCAAAATAATATTGCAGACTCAAAATAATTGGGAGTAAAGGATCAGACTGCAGTGTGCCTATATTAATAAAAAACACCCATTCACATACAATGTTTAACTTTTTTTTCACTTTCATTATTGCTTGACAGATTTGTAGATGAGATGACACTTACCAACAGAGAATTTACTTTATTTTAATAAAACGTTTTATAAGTACTATGTTACAGCTGTCTTATATTATTGAATATGTCATATTATATCTATCAGCGTATGTGTAAGTTTTTAATATCTCTTTTAACAAAAGCAGCAAAATGCATAAAATGTTACTTGTTGGATGACAAAACTACAAGTACATGTAGTTGAGCAGACTATGGATCGATACTAACAGTATGCAACAAGTAATTGCTCACATCCATTTATATTTTCTTACATTACATGTTATGCGAGTGTAATTTGCCAAACTTGAAGCAAAAATGTTTTTGTTGTGTCAACATGAATCAGGTATAAAACATGGAAACTACTTGCTTCATTACTAACAGCAATAATGTTAAATGTTGGACTTGTTTTATGTCACTCTTTGCCATCTTGAGACCTTCCAAAGGAAGTAAATAAATACCTTTGATACTATTTTCTTTATATAAAAAGTAAGCTAATAAGGTAAGCTAACTTGCATACTGTCAGCTACCGTATAAATTAAGTTAACCTGAAATAAAAATATTTCCAATATCTCAATGTCCTAATAATGGCGATTAGAACTACAATTTATCTCTTCATAATAAATGCTTTTCGCAAAAGAATTTATATATAATTTTCATTCATCTTAAAATTTATCTTTTATATCAATTCATAATCATAGTCATTTCTTGAAAAGATGGGCTCTATGCAGAGAATATTATATGGCACTTAAAATAGATTTAGATAATTCAATATCATGATTTCCTAGGCTAAAATTGATTCACATGGATACAAAAACAACTAAAAAATGAATCAGTTTTAAAATGTAAAACCATACAGCCCAGTATACATTGGCAAACCACCCAATAATGTTTATCAAAATTCTCTTTTTCAAGATGTTTAAGAGTGAGACTGATATGAAAGTTATCATGAATATTAATGTAAACTGGACTTTAAATCTAGCATTTTTAGACATTGCCCTTTGAGTATCTTATAAACTTCATGCTGTGTAATATAGCATGTTGTCAGCCAAGGACTTTCCTTAATTTACTGAACACTTAATATRAGGAGACCCTGGCTGGCTCTCTCACATCTGAGAAATTTGCCAAAGGYAAGTAGAATACTGGTGTGAGAGAGACTGCAGGATCTTTTTGGGCTATACAGTGATAGTGTTCCAATAATATCTATTAATCAAAAACTAGGTTTTTGTAATGGAGTTCTTTTATGCTGGTCATCAGTATGTGCCCTTGTTCTTGTYACTCCCACATTTGATATTAGAGTAGGCTCAGCACTTGTAGGACTTGTTTCAGCTATCATGCTACCATAAACTTGACAAGCAACAATTAAACAACACAAAACTATTGGACCAATGATTGCMCCTTCCAGACCAACACAGTATATTCCTCCAGCTACAGCTAGACCAGTAAGGTATGGATGGCCACCACTACAAAACAAGTTACGTGTTGATATTGAAATGGTTAGAATAACATGAAATGTTGCTTACTTTTTTTATAGAGTTATTTTGTAACATAACTAATCCAGCCAAAATTGGTCATTTTGCGCCATTAGTGATAGACTTATTATCAAAGCACTTAAAGTTGATTGACTACAGTTTAGTGCTAGTAAATTGCACATTGCAATAAGAAATTCCAAAGGTTTGTGTAAACTGAGGTAAAAGTGCACCTTGTCCCATACTCAAAATTATGCAACACAATAAAACGGGTGTTTAATTCATTAAGTGGAACCAAAATAAAATGTGAAAAGAGGATTTTTGAACATTAGGCATATACAAGATAAAAACAATGCTACTTTTAGAGTAAAACTACAACATTGTCTTACCCAGAAATTTCACTATATATAGCAGTATCCACAAATGAAGCAGGAAGAATATGACAAATAGCTAATATRACTGCAAGTATTTCTTGATCTTGTACCAGCCAAAGTTCCAATACTGCTGGTATAGCAGCAACATAAGTACCAACAAAGGGCACMACAGATGTGATTGCTGCAATAGCTGAAAAAAAAAAAACAGTGTCATGTACTTTTATTATTTGATAGTATTCTGAATGAGAAACATAAAATTTGTGTCTTTGGTGTCAGATCCTGTGATACATGCAGGCATTTCATATGAAGAGTACATGAGCAGAAAGAGTGGGAAAATACATGTAATAGACAAAGAAATCAAGGAACTATCTGAGATTTAAAAATAAACTTTTAGAGAAAAAAGGATTAAAGTGTTGGCCATCTGCTATATGAATGACAACTTACAATACAATGAATGAAAAATAATTCAATATTTACACTTACCAGAGGGTATGAATACAATGTTAATACCAAATAGTGAATGTGTGAACCAGGTGTACAGGCCATAAAATGTTGCCATCTTCAGTGCAGCACCAAAMACATCTCTGATGAGACAGTACAGAGTTTATTCAATAGTTACATGCAAAAGACCCAATCAAACTGGATCAAACCTGATAGCTTTGTACAGAGATTCCCCAAATCCTGCAGTACTTGAAGCYGTCATCTGGCTAAACCACTCTACAGGTCGATATTGATCACCTGATGTACTTAGTAGGTAGAATAGTGCAGTCATAAAGACAATCTGYAGAAAGAAGGAAAAACAATGGATATSAGCAAACCAAACCTGCAWGCAGAGGATTTTTCAAACACCTKYATCTGCTTGCACAGTAGAGCAAACTCGCCCTCTGACTGACTTCTCTGATACTCTAAGATCAACTCATAAMATACWTGTGGCCAGAATAAGGTAATTTTGCAAATGGAAATAAATATTGAAGTTAACAAATATCAACCACATAAAATTTTCATCTGGATTATTATATATAACCTTATTAAAAGTGTTTTTTATTACAGATATGTCATATTAATGATTAATATTATTATTACATAAATATTTATGATTCTTACCATTGACAGTCCAGTRTTAAGGACATATGTACCACTAAAGAATACCAATGACAGCACCATGGTAACTAGGTTGATCACCATGGTAACATTGCCTTTTAAAATGGTCCATATTGAATCCAGCAGCTATCAATAAATGATATCATACAAAGAACAAGAAACCATTATGAATGAGTTTCTTCATTTAAATAGCACAAGGCATAAAAAGTATTTCCATTGTTAATGTATTTACATACTTTTGTTTTAGTAATTATCTAATAACAGTTAACGGATTGTCCTATTGTAACTGGGATCAAAATGATCAAATGCTAAATGGATCAATGGCAAAACAAAACTATGCAAAATATATACTAACAGTGGCCACACTTTTTTACATTGCTCTGAATCTGGTTATTCATTCATTTAACATTTATTTCATTCCTTTGCTTGACATTATGCATGTACTTTTAAAAATTAAACAAATTAAAATACTTACCGACATCAGAATGCCGATATTTTCTTTGACCACTGAAAAAAGKGCTGTGACATCAATGATGATGCCCTCTTTTCGTATCCAGCTGAGCATATTTCCCCATGCCAAGGAGGCATTAGCTGTTATATTGGCCTCRTTCTTGGATAGAGAATGGGTTTCATTGGATGTCTTGGAAATGTTACTGTGGTTGCCCTGGATTCATAATGTAGAAATATACTGTTTTTTTACTTGAATTCATAGTACTTCTCAATAGTTTTAACTTTATGACTATATGATTCATAATATCTGTGTGTGAAGTACTTGATATCATTWGCTTAATTTACCTTCCCAAACCAAGCGTGATAAAACCTGTCTGTCAATTCAAGTACACTCTGCTGCAACATGGTTGTGTTATCACTGTTATCACCAATAAATGTCCCAACCTGAACACAGAMAAATACTTATTGATCACTAAGCGATAATTAATCATTGGTGATCTCGCTGAGAATGAGACTAGAATGAATGCACTAATCAATTATGGCATTGAGTCAACAGTTCATAATTAGCACTTAATTTACAATCATTTAACAGTCTTACTTTAGCTGCTATCCATTTTCTGCCATACATATATCCCCTTTCTACAGCTGAATCAAGTGTTTTTTTGAATTCTGCATTTTCTGATATCCATCTGAAAATAATTAAGTACACTATTTTAGTGATAATAAAAGTGTGTAGTATAAGCTTTATAAAGTTGATTGCTTAATTGGAATTGGATTGCTTAATTGGAATTGTTGGAAGTGGCCACTTCTTAGAGATTTATACTGTAACCCATCAATAAAGATTGAGAATGAACACTTTTTGTTGTCAGTGGTTAGCTCTTAATTGAGGGTGAATTGCACTGTTTTGTCAAGTCTTTTGTATAAATATCAAGTAAGAAAGCAAACAATTTCCAAAAACACATGAACAAATGTTACTGTGAAATGATAAAAATCAAAGCCTCTCTTCTTTAGGTATTTTCTGAGATAGCACTTTGCATTGTACCCTGCGAGCAGAGTGTATTTCCTTACCTCAATAAAAATTATTGTTATTTTCCTTCGCGAATTTTTATTGAGGTAAGGAAATACACTCTGCTCGCAGGGTATTTGCATTGCATTGTGGTCTAGATTTGGTACAAAAATCTTTTGTTCATGCTGCTAAATATGGGATTGTTTGTACTGAAGCTAGACCACAGTGCACTATGATTTTGCATTTCAGAAAAGATCTATTCAATACTTACTTAACAAGTTGTGGATTTTTTGCAACAACATCATTGACAAGATTCCCTGTGACTGTCACTAAATAAACACTTTCATGGTGGACCTAAAAAAAGCCATGATGAATTAAAATGATGAGTCTTATAAGCAAAGGTTAACAAATAAAAAAGCAGAAACAAATTGATATTTCTTATTAGTGATATATCTATTCTATGCCTTACCTGTACAGCTAATAGTAATGTCACAATAATACTGACTATAATGAGACCAATCACCATAAAAACACTTATTAGTTTATCTATCGACTGTTCCATTAGTGAGTTCACCTATGAAAATTAAAGCAAGTGTAACATATGAAGATTAATCATGAAATAGTACAGTTAATACAATAGTCTCCTTCACAGTTCCCAGCACCATCTTGAAAGGTAGCTGTGCCTTAATATCGAAGCGAGACAACCAGTGAGCTTGYTATAAGGAAGGGGTTCCAATCATTGCACACTCAACGGTCGATGCAACTTAATAATTGCAGGCTCTTGGGATGTACATACCTTTTGATCACCTCTAATGACAAGCTTTGCCATTCCTCTGACTGGAGCTGGTACTAGCGCATCTTGTCTCTCATTGGACCACTGTTTTAGTTTATCAAACCAACCATGYATCAACTCTTGTACATATGACCAAGCACCAGACCAAACAACAACAAGTTTAATGAGATAGATAGCAAAAGGAATGGGAAGAAGCTTCAGAATCCAAATATGCATCCATACTCTTGTCAATAAAATACCCCACATTAGTGCTATGAAATATGGCCGGCTTACACTCTTGGGCTTTGGATTTTTCTTAACTTTCAATCTTGGTTTATTCATTCTACGCATTTTTTGTAGTCTACTTAAGTCCCTTGCAGCATTAGTGGTGTCACCTGCAGTAGCTGTTGTATTGGGAGTTTCTATAACATCAGACCTTACATACTGGGATGTTTTAGGTATTTCTTCAACAGTACTGGAAGTGGATTCATCAGAGTCATATGTAAGAGGTGATGCTAAAACTGATGCTGCGACTGTGAGGCCTTCTATGAAACTACGTCTCTTGTTACTTTTTTCTTGGTCRTTTCCATCCACTAGTAAAAGATACATTTCACAGAATTAATTCTAACTGCATTTCATGTCATTTACCTTTAACATTTTATTATAACGACCTTCAAAGTAGATAGGAGTCCATCCATTTCTTTGTTAAAGACGGTTTATTTCAGTATAACAAGCAGAATGATAGACGACTACAAACAAATTTGATGTTTTGTGAGGCACAGAAAAAAAATTACATGCAAATAGTGGACAATTTGGAGCAATACGGAAGCATTACAGAGTTCTAATGCTTGATAACCACTGAAATAGTCTAAAAATTGCKTACAGAAACAGCAAATCCTACTTGCATACTTGCAATTAGGAAAAATTGAAAATGTTGAAAAAGAAATTCAAGGACTTCATTTCAAATAATTGAGTTCTGTTGTAAGCAATGCTGTCACTACACACTGCCCATAATAATATTACCTTGGTCTTGGGAATCTATCCTGGTGACTTCAGTAATCAGTCCTACTATAGATAGTACAACAACRGCAAGGAACAGTGGCACCCTAAAATCACCAGCAATTGATGCTACATGGGTTACAAATGTCATCCACACAGGAATAGAGAGAATTCTCATGACTGAAGAAGATGATGGCGTCCACCAAAATATCAATGCAATAATATATCCAATGATAAGAGACCACACCTGAAAAATGCAGATATTTGTAACTTAGATTTTAAACAAGGAAGTAAAACAAACACATTAAATATTTAAGTATTTTAATATGTAGTATAGTTGTTTTAGGTCAGCAAAATGATCATCTTTCACCAGTGTTTTCATATAGGGACAGCGAGCCTGAAGCAGAAAACTATAGGCTGCAAGGGAAACTATTTTTAATGCAGACAATCATAATCTACTACTGAAAACAAAGAACCTTTCCCAATAAATTATTAACGACTGATTAATCATTTATGAGGAATATTTAGAAATATAGACATACCACAACAGGATTGCTGAAATAATCCATGATATTATAAAGTGTCACTCCAACAGAGTAAAGAAAAGAGAAAATCTCCAAAAATGGCCGAAAGACATATAGTCCATAAATAAACGGTGACAATAATGACACTGTCACAATAACACGWATATGCTTCGCTATGAACCCTCCAACAACRTCTGACAAGGTATTCAGTAGCTGAAAAGGAACCACAACTGCGCCAACAATAATCGGGGTGTTGGATCTACTCATAGACCTCAACCARCCRGTGAATATTTTTGTCATAGTTCTCTTGAACGGATGAAGAAATGCTCCACAAAGACCAGCCCAAAGCAAAGGTTTAAGGAAAGGGTCCAAAACAAAGTACACTGCAACGCCAGCTGCCCCTCCAGMAACGACGAATACTAATGCCACGGTGTTGTAAAAGGCTTGTTTCAAAGCTTTTTCGTGGTCAGCTCCAACGCTRCTAAGAACAGCATTGAATGGWGACAGRTATTCAAAGCTAGACTGTCGAGCTGGAGACTTTAATGTRGCCATTTTCTTAAATTTCTGGTTACACTTCCAGTTTTAAGAGTTCAACTGCTGACCGGATCAAAGTCCCGATTATACTTTCCCCACCCCCTAACAAAAATGAAAATTATTAAAATGTGAAAAAATATTCCAAAAAGATATACAAGAGCAGTAAAATTRAGAATGAAGCATCTTAATTAATTCATTGAATTTCACGTGGGATCCAGRTGTTTTGAAGTTTAACATTTTTACACTAGACATATATCTTCCCCTCCCCCTAGGATCTGTTTTACCATGAGTCTGCATTATTCGTCTAACAGCGGAGCTACACATTAGGCTTGGTTGGTGTGGAAGAAAATGGCAGCCCTCCATTTCAACAAGTGCCTTGATGAATTACGTTTCAAAGATGACCGCCTTACAACTGTTACGTCTGAAGAACAGCAAAAAGTAGAGCAGAGAGTTTCCGTTAACTACAAATCTTACCTTGAAGTGCTGGATTTGGATCCGGAATTTCCACTTTATCGCACAAAACATTTGAACTACTTGCGGCGAGGACTCCGACACTTGTCCGATTCGTACGAATGTCTTGATGCTAGTCGTCCTTGGTTATGCTACTGGATTTTACATTCTTTGGAATTACTAGACGAGCATGTGCCGCCCCAAGTCAGTGCTGACGTCGTGGATTTTCTTCGCCGGTGTCAAGATCCCAAGGGAGGGTTCGGTGGGGGCCCAGGACAGGTTCCCCATTTAGCTCCTACTTATGCTGCAGTTTGTGCCTTGAGTATTCTTGGTACAAAAGACGCTTACGATGTGATTGACAGGCCTGGATTGCAGAAATTTTTACAACGTTGCAGAACTGCAGAAGGAGCTTACAGGATGCATGAAGATGGTGAAGTTGACATCAGAGGTGCTTATTGTGCTATAGTAGCTGCATGTATAACCAATGTTATGACACCAGCTCTAGTAGAAGGAACTGCAGAATGGATTAAGCAGTGCCAAACGTATGAAGGAGGCTTCTCGGGGGAACCAGGACTTGAGGCCCACGGTGGCTACACATTCTGTGGCTTTGCTGCACTCATTTTACTCGGAAAAGAACAGTTGATAAACATTAARCAGCTTTTGCACTGGGCTGCAAGCAGGCAGATGAAACTAGAAGGTGGCTTCCAAGGAAGAACTAACAAGCTTGTYGATGGATGTTACTCATTTTGGCARGGTGGGATATTCCCTTTACTTCACAATGTACTTGAAGCACAACACGACAACTCAGTCAGTACAGAAAAATGGATGTTTGATCAAGTGGCATTGCAGAATTATGTGCTTATTAACTGTCAGTATCATGCTGGAGGTTTGATTGACAAGCCAGGAAAGTCCCGTGATTTCTACCACACTTGTTATTGTCTTAGTGGTCTTTCTGTTGCTCAGAATTTCATTCTTAAACATCACTCCAAARTTGAGGCAGTTGGAGGAGATGAGAATATACTAAAACCTGTACACCCTTTGTACAATATTGGTGTTGATAGTGCAATATTGGCTGTGAAGCATTATAAAGCACTTCCAGTTCCATGATACTACAATTATCTGACTATAATCCAGTCATTTTGAACACAAAAAAACTGAATAATTACCATAACTTTATACAACATTTTTCTAAACTAAAAAATAGAAACTTTTATAATGTTTGCAGGATAGGCTTTTGCAAGTTTATTGTCTGAGATGTGTATTTGACACATGTGATTTTCTTCTATCATGTGAATTTTGTACATTTTGTACATCATGCATTGCGGAAATGATTCAAAMATAACAAAAAAATAATAGAAATTATTTAGAAAATAAATAATAAATTAAAACAAAGATCAACTGAACAATTTTCATTGGTATTATTAGATTCTTTTGAAAATCTCCATTAATTCGATTTGATGCATATTATTCTGGTTCGCACCAGTAATAAATACCAGTGACAGATCCAGAATGTTACAAAATGCATGGCTTACTTAGGGAAACAAATTATATGAATAGATTTAGGGCTGCAGACAAATGATTTTTCTAAGGTGAACGGCCCATGTTTTCCAGAGTCCTATTTGCAATGATTTCTTTTATCTATTTTATTGCATGATTTATATTTACAAATTTTTGGTCAATAAAAAGGGGTTGGCTAGCCACCCTAATAATCCCCCAGGCCCCCACTCCTGGATCTGCCATTTGATATTATCTTTCTCTCACACTGATTATAGCAGAATCATAAGACAAAAACACTTGAAGCTGTTTTCTATTCAAACATTTTATAATCTATATTTCTGGTGTACTGTGTCTCTGAATTGGTATGTAAATATGGTTAATTTAATAATACACTGTATTTCCACTGGCGATCAATGATTTTTCAAAAAAATTCATTATTTTTTGTCAATGTGTCAAGTATCCTGTTTGACAGCCAGATGTCAAGGCCGAGTCATAACAACAGGGCAAACTGCAAAAGTGTGAAATGTTTTATGTATACCATCCCATATCAGTCTCTGACAAGATACTGATAAGTAAAAATTTCAAAGTTAAGTTTTGGAGCCGAAATCTTTGTCAGTTGTTGTATTTTGCTTTGAAAAAGATATGGGCATTTTATCATAAAACCAGCCCATAAACATTTAAGAATCAAAAAAAGTCAATAACTCTGTCATGAACGTCTGGATTCACAGCGCGTGCGCTGCGTGCGTGCGTGTATCTGATGTCATTACGCGCGCCGGTTTCCGCTGTTAGTTGTCATAGTTACTGGCGAAGTGAAGTTCAAACATTTTCTCACGGTCATCTGAGACAGCAATCAGCAAACATGAAAAGAAAGCAAAACAAACTATGTGCTTGTCCGTTATAGCAAAACATCTGTACTGACACAACTCTCCAGCGAAGAAGTGTTACTTTGACCCCACGCCATGTCCACCATGCTTGCAAACGGATATTCGCAGCAGACAACAAAAAAATCAAGCTTACATGGAGCAATTCACCTAACTGTTGACGACAGTCCCACAATCTTTCCTAAGACTTTTAGGAGGGATAGCCGAAGGATTTCTCTCAATGCGGTGCAAGCTTTTTCCTCTACTCGTCGAAGCACAATTCATCACACAGGTCACGGAGCAGTAGATCTCCTTGGCGCTGCCAGYTCTCCATACAATATCATGTACACTTCGAGAGCTGTAAAAGCCTACAGGCAAAGACGAGCTTTGCATCATAAGAATTTGAAGGGAAAGAAAAAAAAGGTATCATATAGATAAACAGTTATTTTGGTCCTGTATTATTTGTTTTTTTGAGAAACTGTGATAGCGTGACTTGGCCATCAGCAAACAAACAACATAGTGCTGGAATTCAATAGACAAATAAATTGAATTGTTACTGTAGTTTATTACTTTTGTCATGGTTATATGAGCTTGATTCAATGTATTGTCTTTGTTCAAAGCTTGATGTCATGTAAATCCTTCAATTTGCCCTTAGGCTCATMCTGGAMCACGCATAGTTTKGGCAACTTCGGTTTCTTATKTCAGTTCTGTTTTCATTGTCGAAATTATGAGAATTGTTCTACTTTAGTTTTGAATGGATAAATCTAGTAAAATAAAGTTGAYTGAATCATTTTGTATACTAAATTGTACTTACTTTGCTAAGGAAATCATCTTACATAAAAAAAACATAAAAGTGCACAAAACCACGTCAACGATTTACTTTGCGAATGATGAAAATACAGCATGTTTGTCTTATTATACGAACTGATACGAACTGATATTTGTGTCATTCATATTGTATTTTGTAAGGGAGGCAAGCATACAGAAAGTGTACAAGAACTCGTACAGGTAAATAATAACAAAAACAAAATCACTAAATAAGTATTGATCAGAACAACCACACCCTTTTAGACAAGGAAACCAGCTAAAGATGGCACTACATGACCACATTACACCTCTGCTTATCAATCTTCACTGGCTTCCTGTCTCCGCACGTATCAAGTTTAAAATTCTCCTTCTGACTTTTAAAGCTCTTCATGGCCTGGCTCCTATTTATGTTCAAGATATGCTTAAAAACTATCGTCCTTCTCGTTGTCTTCGTTCGTCGTCTCAACTGTTACTGTCTTCCAAGTCTTACAATCTTAAAAGTTATGGTTATCGTTCTTTTAGTGTTGCTGGACCTTTTCTATGGAATTCACTGCCATCTTCAATCAGAGACATTTCTTCACTTGACAATTTTAAAACTGCTCTCAAAACCTTCCTTTTTAAACAAACTTATGATCTGTAACTCTATTTTAACTTTCTTAATATCTTAATTTTTACCTTTTTATTTGCGCTTAGAAAAAGTTTTATAAGCGCTTTATAAGCTTAGATTATTATTATTATTATTATTATTAATACATGGTGACGTCATATTCATTCTCAGGTCCTTATGGAACCTCGTTTTTCTGGTATCGAGAAGAT